GGAAGGCGAGGAAAGTGGCGGGGGGGGGAGCGGCGCGGGGATGGAAGGCGAGGAAAGTGGGGGGGAGCGGCGCGGGGATGGAAGGCGAGGAAAGTGGCGGGGGGAGCGGCGCGGGGATGGAAGGCGAGGAAAGTGGCGGGGGGGGGAGCGGCGCGGGGATGGAAGGCGAGGAAAGTAGCGGGGGGAGCGGCGCGGGGATGGAAGGCGAGGAAAGTGGCGGGGGGAGCGGCGCGGGGATGGAAGGCGAGGAAAGTGGCGGGGGAGCGGCGCGGGGATGGAAGGCGAGGAAAGTGGCGGGGGGGCGGCGCGGCGGGGATGGAAGGCGGGGGAAGCGGCGGGGGGATGGAAGGTGAGGGAATTGGCGGGGGGAGCGGCGCGGGGATGGAAGGTGAGGGAAGTGGCGGGGGGAGCGGCGCGGGGATGGAAGGTGAGGGAAGTGGCGGGGGGGATGGAAGGTGAGGGAAGTGGCGGGGGGAGCGGCGCGGGGATGGAAGGTGAGGGCAGTGGCGGGGGGATGGAAGGTGAGGGAAGTGGCGGGGGGAGCGGCGCGGGGATGGAAGGTGAGGGAAGTGGCGCGGGGATGGAAGGTGAGGGAAGTGGCGGGGGGAGCGGGCGCGGGGATGGAAGGTGAGGGAAGTGGCGGGGGGGGGGTGGAAGGTGAGGGAAGTGGCGGGGGGAGCGGCGCGGGGCTGGAAGGTGAGGGCAGTGGCGGGGGGATGGAAGGTGAGGGAAGTGGCGGGGGGAGCGACGCGGGGATGGAAGGTGGGGGAAGTGGCAGGGGGATGGAAGTGGCAAGGGGAGCGGCGCGGGATGGAAGGTGAGGGAAGTGGCGGGGGGGAGCGGCGCGGGGATGGAAGGTGGGGGAAGTGGCGGGGGGAGCGGCACGGGGATGGAAGGTGGGGGAAGTGGCAGGGGGAGCGGCGCGGGGATGGAAGTGGCGAGGGAGCGGCGCGGGGATGGAAGGTGGGGGGAGCGGCGCGGGGATGGAAGGTGAGGGAAGTGGCGGGGGGGGAGCGGCGCGGGGATGGAAGGTGGGGGAAGTGGGCGGGGGGAGCGGCACGGGGATGGAAGGTGAGGGAAGTGGCGGGGGGAGCGGCACGGGGATGGAAGGTGGGGGAAGTGGCGGGGGGAGCGGCGCGGGGATGGAAGGTGAGGGAAGTGGCGGGGGGGAGCGGCGCGGGGATGGAAGGTGGGGGAAGTGGCGGGGGGGAGCGGCACGGGGATGGAAGGTGAGGGAAGTGGCGGGGGGGGAGCGGCACGGGGATGGAAGGTGGGGGAAGTGGCGGGGGAGCGGCGCGGGGGATGGAAGGTGAGGGAAGTGGCGGGGGGAGCGGCGCGGGGATGGAAGGGTGGGGGAAGTGGCGGGGGGGAGCGGCACGGGGATGGAAGGTGAGGGAAGTGGCGGGGGGGAGCGGCACGGGGATGGAAGGTGGGGGAAGTGGCGGGGGGAGCGGCGCGCGGGGATGGAAGGTGAGGGAAGTGGCAGGGGGAGCGGCACGGGGATGGAAGGTGGGGGAAGTGGCGGGGGGAGCGGCGCAGGGATGGAAGGGTGCAGTTGGCGGAGTTCGGGGTGGAATGAAGGTGAAGCTGCCAAACCCCAGCGGATCTGAGGAGGATTTTCCTACAACCCTCTTCTTCTCTTCCATCTCTTAACCCTCTCCATTCCACACAGCTCACTCCTGACACCCCAACCAACATCTGACCGTGTCACCCTGCAATGGGAGGGGCCGACTCATGAAACCTCCCCCCATATAATGAGGAGAGGGAACACAGAGAAGCACTATCTGCATTCACCCTCCATAGTCTGTGTACTGGAAGAAGGGGCAGGAGATGAGGAGTACACTTATGACGGGGGTAGTGTTGGGTGTACTATGAGGGGGGTAGTGTTGGGTGTACTATGACGGGGGGGGGTAGTGTTGGGTGTACTATGAGGGGGGTAGTGTTGGGTGTACTATGACGGGGGGGGTAGTGTTGGGTGTGTGTACTATGACGGGGGGGTAGTATTGGGTGTACTATGGGGGGGGGGGGTAGTGTTGGGTGTACTATGACGGGGGGGGGGTAGTGTTGGGTGTACTATGGGGGGGGGGGGGTAGTGTTGGGTTTACTATGAGGGGGGTAGTGTTGGGTGTACTATGGGGGGGGGGGGGGTAGTGTTGGGTGTACTATGAGGGGGGGGGGTATAGTGTTGGGTGTACTATGAGGGGGGGGGGGTAGTGTTGGGGGTGTACTATGAGGGGGGTAGTGTTGGGTGTACTATGAGGGGGGGGTAGTGTTGGGTGTACTATGAGGGGGGTAGTGTTGGGTGTACTATGATGGGGGTAGTGTTTGGTGTACTATGGGGGGGTAGTGTTGGGTGTACTATGAGGGGGGTAGTGTTGGGTGTACTATGAGGGGGGGTAGTGTTGGGTGTACTATGACGGGGGTAGTGTTAGGTGTACTATGACGGGGGTAGTGTTGGGTGTACTATGAGAGGGGGTAGTGTGTTGGGTGTACTATGAGGGGGGTAGTATTGGGTGTACTATGAGGGGGGGTAGTGTTGGGTGTACTATGAGGGGGGGGTAGTGTTGGGTGTACTATGACGGGGGTAGTATTGGGTGTACTATGAGGGGGGTAGTATTGGGTGTACTATGATGGGGGTAGTGTTGGGTGTACTATGACGGGGGTAGTGTTGGGTGTACTATGATGGGGGTAGTGTTGGGTGTACTATGATGGGGGTAGTGTTGGGTGTACTATGAGGGGGGTAGTGTTGGGTGTACTATGACGGGGGTAGTGTTGGGTGTACTATGAGGGGGGTAGTGTTGGGTGTACTATGATGGGGGGGTAGTGTTGGGTGTACTACTATGATGGGGGTAGTACTTGTTGGGTGTACTATGACGGGGGTAGTATTTGGGTGTACTATGAGGGGGGTAGTATTGGGTGTACTATGACGGGGGGGGGGTAGTGTTGGGTGTACTATGACGGGGTAGTGTTGGGGTGTACTATGACGGGGGTAGTGTTGGGTGTACTATGACGGGGAGTAGTGTTGGGTGTACTATGAGGGGGGTAGTATTGGGTGTACTATGACGGGGGGGGGGGTAGTGTTGGGTGTACTATGATGGGAGTAGTGTTGGGTGTACTATGAGGGGGGTAGTGTGGGTGTACTATGAGGGGGGTAGTGTTGGGTGTACTATGAGGGGGGTAGTATTGGGTGTACTATGAATAGGGGGGGGTAGTATTGGGGTGTACTATGATGGGGGTAGTATTTGGGTGTACTATGATGGGGGTAGTATTGGGTGTTCTATGATGGGGGTAGTATTGGGTGTACTATGAGGGGGGTAGTGTGTTGGGTGTACTATGACGGGGGTAGTGTTGGGTGTACTATGATGGGGGGTAGTGTTGGGTGTATTCTATGAGGGGGGTAGTATCGGGTGTACTATGACGGGAGTACAGATAGTGGGGGTGTGCGGTGTACTATGAGGGGGGTAGTGTTGGGTGTTCTATGAGGGGGGTAGTGTTGGGTTGTTCTATGATGGGGGTAGTATTGGGTGTACTATGATGGGGGGGGTGTACTATGAGGGGGGTAGTGTTGGGTGTACTATGAGGGGGGTAGTGTTGGGTGTTCTATTGACGGGGTAGTGTTGGGTGTACTATGATGGGGGGTAGTATTGGGTATAACTATGATGGGGGGTAGTATTGGGTGTACTATGATGGGGGTAGTATTGGGTGTTCTATGATGGGGTAGTATTGGGTGTTCTATGAGGGGGGTAGTATTGGGTGTTCTACTATGAGGGGGGTAGTATTGGGTGTTCAATGAGGGGGGTAGTATTGGGTGTGTACTATGACGGGGTAGTATTGGGTGTACTAAGACGGGGGTAGTATTGGGTGTTCTATGACATGGGGTAGTATTGGGTTGTATATGATGGGGGTAGTATTGGGGGTAGTATTGGGTGTTCTATGACAGGGGTAGTATTGGGGTGTAGTAGGTGTATGATGTAGTAGTGTCCACCATTGATGAGCTGGGGCCGCACTGATAATCACCTTGATCTCTTTATTGATAAATAATACACATAGATACATTGTGGAGGCCAGGAACCCCGAATATCACATCTGTCAGTCCGCTCACCTTCCTCTTCCCCCCCATACATTGTGGAGGCCAGGAACCCCGAATATCACATCTGTCAGTCCGCTCACTTCCTCGCCCCCCATAAACATTGTACTCTGGATTATTATAAAATAAGGTGTCACTTCCGCTTACACATCGCTCTCAGCCCAGTTTCTGGAGCTTCAGGAAAGTTCGATGACAGTAAACACACCTTCAGGAGGATTGTATGCAGCCATGGCACATATATATGCCATAACGCCTTCATTCACACAGGCAGCATGTTCTGTACTTCTGATCCGGCCCGTGTGCGCCCAGCGTGGGCGGGTGATGGGGTGGAGTAGATGTCTTTGGATTGGACTTTGTTTTCCTCACGTGTCTCCCGGATCCTTTTTGTTGGTATTCTGAGATCCCCATTTATTTAGACATTTGAAATAGAAGGCCAGGTGTTCCCAGTCCCACCCACTGCAAGCTCCTCGCTATCTCTGACACAAGGGAGTAAGATGCAGAGGAAGTAGACCCCGCCCACGAGGTACCTTACATCGGGCTGCAGAATATGATATAAATGGCAGATGTATGGAATGGACAACGCCTTTATTTCAGTCATAGTGCTTGCTGTAGACCAATGGAAGATCTCCGAGAGGCCATGCAGGCTACAATTGGTGGTCAGACATGTCCCCACCCCCTCCCTGCACATACTGATCAGTCCTCATAGAAAGAATTCGGGCCCCTGTTGGAGGCTTTGGTTGGAGCTGAAAATGAGGCCTAAAGATACATGCGTTCTGTTCAATCTTCTCCCTCTCTCGGAACTGTGGTGATCTCCTCTCCCCCGTGATTGGCCGGAGTTCTTTTTCAGGCTTCTAGTTGTTGTGCCTTCAGGCTGTGGTCTGGGGGTGTCTGTGGGGGTCCCCCGGAGCCGTCATTAGGTTCTGATCGCTGTCTTCCTCTCTCTGTCCTTTCCCTGCCAAGACAAGAAAAGATACGTAATTCTTATTCATTGAGTATTCAGTGCAGCCCTTAGGTGATATCAGGGGCTGGGCCTGAGGCCTCCTATCATGACCTTTGACCCGGACTGTTTTTATCCCATTGTCCCCATACTGTCACCCTGGGGGAAATTCATTCCCTGGAGCCTACAAATTCTACTTTACTATGAGGATCTTTCAGAAAGGGCTTTGTTACAGGGAGTTCTAGGTGAGGGATGTGTGAGATTCATATTGTAGGGAAGGGCTGGATGGAAGGTTGGGATGAAGATTTCACTCTTTTTCTGCAAAATTCTCTTCCTGGGGGTGAAGGCTGCTCTGGGGGATCTCCTGGCTCAATACAAAAACTTGTGTGCCTCTGACCTGGTGTGATCCAGCATTTTAATTGGATGGAAGCCAGAGAAGCATCAGGCTTTGCAGAATCTAGAACCTTGAGGGAAGGCGAGACATTCAACCCATGATAGACCCAAGAAAGTAAAACTTTACAGATCTGCATGAATAACTGTCCCATGATCATCTCATCACCGTCCAATCTCCTGATAGGAACACCATGTGTGTCCCACCACCGTCCCATCTCCTGATAGGAGCATCATTTGTGTCCCACCACCGTCCCATTTCCTCATAGGAACTCCATGTGTGTCTCACCACTGTCCCCCCGCCATCCCATCTTCTGATAGGAGCACCATTTGTGTCCCACCACTGTCCCATCATCATCCCATCACCGTCCCATCTCCTGATAGGAGCATCATTTGTGTCCCACCGCCGTCCCATTTCCTCATAGGAACTCCATGTGTGTCTCACCACTGTCCCCCCGCCATCCCATCTTCTGATAGGAGCACCATTTGTGTCCCACCACTGTCCCATCATCATCATCCCATCACCGTCCCATCTCCTGATAGGAACACCATGTGTGTCCCACCACTGTCCCATCTTCTCATAGGAACACCATGTGTGTCTCACCACTGTCCCCCCGCCATCCCATCTTCTGATAGGAGCACCATTTGTATCCCATCGCTGTCCCATCTCCAGATTGGAGCACCATGTGTGTCCCACCACCGTCCCATCCTGTGATAGGATCACCATTTGTGTCTCACCGCCATCCCTTTTTCTGATAGGATCACCATTTGTGTCTCACCGCCATCCCAACTTCTGATAGGATCACCATTTGTGTCCCACCACCATCCCAACTTCTGATAGGAGCACCATTTCTACCCCCACCACTGTCTCATCTTATAGGAGCACCATTTCTACCCCACCACTGTCCCATCTTCTGATAGGAGCACCATTTCTACCCCACCACTATCCCATCTTCTGATAGGAGCACCATTTGTACCCCACCATCGTCCCATCTTCTGATAAGAGCACCGTTTGTACCCCACCACTGTCCCATCTTTTGATAGGATCAAAATGTGTGTCCCACCATCCTCCCTACTTCTGATAGATGTGACAGTGGTTGGATACAGATGGTGCTCCTGATAGGAGCACCATTTCTACCCCACCACTGTCCCATCTTGATAGGAGCAGCATTTCTACCCCACCACTATCCCATCTTCTGATAGGAGCACCATTTCTACCCCACCACTGTCCCATCTTGATAGAGGAGCAGCATTTCTACCCCACCACTATCCCATCTTCTGATAGGAGCACCATTTCTACCCCACCACTGTCCCATCTTGATAGGAGCAGCATTTCTACCCCACCACTGTCACATCTTCTGATAGGAGCACCATTTCTACCCCACCACTGTCTCATCTTCTGATAGGAGCACCATTTGTTCCCCACCATCGCCCCATCTTCTGATATGAGCACCATTTGTACCCCACCACCGTCCCATCTTCTGATATGAGCACCATTTTGTACCCCACCACCGTCCATCTTCTGATAGGAGCACCATTTGTACCCCACCACCGTCCCCATCTTCTGATATGAGCACCATTTGTACCCCACCACCGTCCCATCTTCTGATAGGAGCACCCATTTGTACCCCACCACCGTCCCATCTTCTGATAGGAGCACCATTTGTACCCCACCACCGTCCCATCTTCTGATAGGAGCACCATTTGTACCCCACCACCGTCCCATCTTCTGATATGAGCACCATTTGTACCCCACCACCGTCCCATCTTCTGATATGAGCACCATTTGTACCCCCACCACCGTCCCATCTTCTGATAGGAGCACCATTTGTACCCCACCACACCGTCCCATCTTCTGATATGAGCACCATTTGTACCCCACCACCGTCCCATCTTCTGATAGAGCAGCACCATTTGTACCCCACCACCGTCCCATCTTCTGATAGGAGCACCATTTGTACCCCACCACCGTCCCATCTTCTGATAGGAGCACCATTTGTACCCCACCACCGTCCCATCTTCTGATAGGAGCACCGTTTGTGCCCAACTACTGTCCCATCTTCTAATAAGAGCACCATTTTTGTGTCACCCACTGTCCCATCTTCTGATAGGAGCAGCATTTCTACCCCACCACTATCCCATCTTCTGATAGGAGCACCGTTTCTACCCCACCACTGTCCCATCTTCTGATAGGAGCACCGTTTCTACCCCACCACTGTCCCATCTTCTGATAGGAGCACCGTGTCCCCTCGTTCCCATTTTTGTCCGGGACTAATCCATTACGGATCCACGTCACCAGCTGGTAGTCTAAGAGCCGTCTTGACATGTGGCAGTATTCGAGGCGGCTGAGTGGCTCCGCAGTGACGGCTTTGTTGGCCCTTTAAGCAGTTGGCCCTGGATGAGAGTGTCGGTGTGGGGCTGCTGTCTGTACTGACACACTAAATCCCCACATTCCTCACCGGGATGTTTACGTGACGCCTCTGGTATTCGCTCTATTTCCACTAACTCACTCTGGAGAAGAACTTTTTTTACAATCTACTTAAAAATGGAAAATTTGGGCAAAAGTCTCCGCCTGTCCACAAAGCCGTTTTGTCTGAGTGCGGCAGGCGAGCCCCGCGTCCAGGATCCCTCCCGAGGCTCCGGCTGACGGTGGACTGCCAGCATTTATTTCCATTTTATGAGGTTTTTCTGGGCTTCTAGAATAAATATATAAAGGCAAAAAGTACAGCAAATTACACAGAGCGGAGAATAGTCAAACAGAAAATACGCAGCGCCTCCCGCCAACCCCAAATCATAACAATCCCCAAGCCAGCGCAAACACCGGGGCTGCCGCAGAGAGGGGAGGGCGGGCGCTGACCCCCAAACCAGGAGCAGGTGGCACCCAGATCTCCAGAGGACACGGCTCAGATTTCCACACCTGCTCTACGCACGGCCCGCTGGCTTACTGCCACAAACTTCCGCCATCACCCATAGCAACCGGGTTTCCTCAGTTCAGACATGGCTTGTGATTGGTGGCTCTGGATAAATGCCCATCTTGCTTCATTCTTCAGCTAAATCTAGCAGATGGAGGTGTTTGTAAATCTCTCTATATCACCACCATATTCAGTAGCACAGTAAGATATGGAGGACATCGAATCCATTCAGCCTTCCTCACCCCTCTCCGCTTGGTAAATACCCCTAAAGTCATGGACCCGACTCCTGCAGCAAACTCGCCCGAAAACAGCCAGCTATAACGGAACCCCGCTCCTTCTGAGGGTCACACACAAAATGAAACCTTCCAGTATTGTCCCTTGTTCTGCCCAGAGCTGGCTTTGGCTCAGGCTGCAAAGGTTGTCCTGGAGGGCTACAGGGGTAGATTGGTAAGGGCTGTCCTCCAGGGCCGTGGGGGGTTAATCTGAAGGGTCTGTTGTGGAGGCTGTAGGGTTAACTGGAAGAGGCTGTCCTGCAGGGTTGTGGGGGGTTAATTAGGAGAGGCTGTCCTGCAGGGTTGTGGGGGGTTAATTAGGAGAGGCTGTCCTGCAGGGTTGTGGGGGGTTAATTAGGAGAGGTTGTCCTGGAGGGTTAATTAGAAGAGGCTGTCCTGGAGGGTCAGTGGGGGTTAATCAGAAGGGACTGTCCTGGAGACTATGGGAGGTTAACTGGAAGAGGCTGTCCTGGAGGGTCACGGTGGGTTAATTGGAATGGGCTTTCCTGGGGAGTGCTTAATTGAAAGATGCTGTCCTGGGGGCTACAGAGGAGTTTATTGGAAGGGGCTGTCCTGTAGGGCCACAGGGAGGTAATCAGAAGGCACTGTCCTGGAGGTCGTGTGAGGTTAAATGGAAGAGGCTGTCCTGGAGACTGTGGGGGATTCATTGGAACGGCCTGTGCTGGTGTTTAATTTGAAGAGGCTGTCCTGTAGGGCTATAGTGGGGCTTACTGGAAGGGGCTGTCCTGTAGGGCCACTGAAAGGTTTATTGGAAGGGGCTGTCCCTGAGGGCTGTTGAGGGTTATTTGGAAGGTTCTCTCTTGGAGGGCCATAGAGGGGTTAATTGGAAGAAGTTGACCTGGAGGGCCATGGGGACTTAATCAGAATGGCCTCTCCTGCAGAGTGGTTAATTGGATGGGGCTGTCTTGGATGGTAATGGGGGTAAGATTGGAAGGGGCTGTTCTGGAGGGCCATAGGGTATAAGATTGGAAGTGGCTGCCCTGAAGAGTGTTGTGGGGTAGATCAGAAAGTGATGTTCCAGAAGGGCAGGGAAAGGGGTAGGTTGAAAGGGGTTGTCCTGGGGGACCCTAGTGATAGATCGGATGGAGCTGTGTGCTCCTTCCCTAACATGGCCCCACCTGACTGTCTGTTTTATTGAGGTGGTTCAGTGTTATGCCGAGTGTCATCTAATATCTATCACCATAATGATGATCTCTGGAGAACATGGAGGTGCCTGTCATGAAGTCCCCCTGTAATGAGGCATTCTGGGTAATGCTTACCAACCTGTCACTGAAGGACTGTTTTGGCCATTATGGACCTGTTATGACTGCAAACATTGCAACATCATCCAGTAAATGTGAGGAAGAATTCCACCTCCCCGAGCCGGTCATCCTTCCCGTTATTCCCTTCCCTGCTGCCGTCATCTGGAATGTTCCAGATC